GATTTTCTCTCCCCCCCCCCCCCCCACCTCTGACTCAGTGCAGAATTACTCAGCTCTGAGCACCAGCTCTTATTCGGATAAAACGCAAGACAGGTCAAATGACTGTTCTTCCCTCTTTGGAGGACATCTGCGGGGTACCAGGTACGCAATGGTGAAATCTGATGGCTTGAACGAGGGGCACGTTTGATCCCACCCCAAAGCTCCGGTGTACCTCAGGGAGCCCAGTCAGCACTTAGACACGCTCGCTTTCCGACTGCGTCATTTCTTTTTTACATTGCTTTGCCCTTCTGCTTCGCAAGAAGCGGCGTGCTTCGCCAGGCTGGTGGCACGCTCTCCAGCCTTCCTCGGGGCCTCATGCTAAGAGGTTGTTTGGGAGCGCTGCTGCTTCAATTGACCGCTTGCTCTCAAAGCCATGTGCGTGGGACCTGGTCCTCCTTCTGTCTAGCAGGTGGGAAGCTGTTCTGAAAGCTAATGAATTGTTCCTCGCTCAGGCAGTTCTTTGCAAGGCTGGAAACTCGCATTTTAACACCCGAATCCTTGGGAACAGGAGTGTCCGGCTAAAGAACTCTCGCACCCTGTTCCTCCCAGTGCCCTGTGGAGTGCAGCAGTGTTGAGGGAGAAAATGATTTGTTTCCTTTCCAGTTTTCTAATAGCTTTGTGGTACGTTTCACTTAGACAAATCCAAGCCTCTCTTTCATCAGGACATTTAAACTGATTCATAAAGGATTAGTTTGGTTTGGCCCCACCTGAGAAAAGTCTTCAAAAACGACAGCTTCAGGCTCCTCGGGCTTTGGGATCGGCGAGCAGGCGGCTCAGAGCTGCTGCTTTTGAGCACCGTGGAAGGTGCAGAGCAGACCTGGACGTGACGGAGGAAACCTGAGCGTGTAGATTTTGCAGGTCTTGTGACAAATTAGTAACGGTGCCAGCTTATTTACTTTCTGCAAATAGAAACTCAACTGTAAATGCCAGAGAGCGGGGAGTAGCTTACCCCAGCAGCTGGGGGAGAGGTCCCCTGCAGCGCGCAGTGCAGGAGGAAGGCTCTGCACCCTACTTGCGCCTCTGTTTCCCCTTCGCTAAGTGGATGTGTCCTCTTCGGAGAGTTTTGTTTGAAAGGAGCTAACGGCAGCAGAGCGTTTTCCTTGGATTTCTGCTCTGTCAGACGTGTCGTCGTCCCAGCTGGGGCTGTGCGGTGTGAGACGGACTGCTGAGCTGGCTCTCTTGTAGGACGCTTCCCTTTCTGTAATAAGCAGGGGTAAAAGATAATCTTCTCTAACTATAAATAACATTTCTGTTCTGAAAT